CCCTGCCCGGAGCCCGCGCCGCAGCTGCCGGCCTCCTCGCACCGCAGCTTCTCGCAGAGGATGCCGGTGTAAGCTTCTGGGCACTGGCAGCGCACGTTGTTGTGGCATGTCCCTCCGTTCTGGCAGTGCAGGAGCTCGTTGTCGCACACATTCGCTGCAGAATGAAGGGGAGGGCAGGGGGTAGGGTGCGGGGAGGAGAAGTACAATCAATTTAAGATCATCTAGTACATCATGTTTTCAGCCTTAACAACAAAAAAATCTCAATCGATCGTTCTCACACTCGCCCCCTCCCTTCCACAAACTAAGCATGTGACTCCAATTTCCAAACAAATGTAGTTTGCTGTCTTTGTTTTAACCATATTAGACCCTTCTATATAGATTTCCACCTCCCTACAATTTTGGATGTTATCATTGTCCATTTCAGGCCATTGAACGCAAGGTGATATGATAATACTTCCGGTTTGGCACTGTCTTCTCTTCATGGCCCCAGGACCTGTTGTGCTCTGGTTTTTAAAGAGCAAGTGCCTGATACAAGAGGCAGAGCTTGGAAGTGAAAGGAGTGGTGGCTAAAATGCAAAGCAGTGTTGATAAAATAAACTTCTAAAGAGTGGGCCCTTCTCCCTGGCAGATCCCAGCTTCCCAGTCCAGCATGCGAGAGAGTGTGAACCTGCAGGGAAGAGCCAGGGACTAACTGAAGCGGATGGGACAAGCGAAAGCAGCATGCTCCAGGCAGGCGACAGCCAGCCCAGGGGAGGGGAAGCTTGTCCTGCTGGGGAGTGAGCCAGCGTGAGGAAGAGCAATCTTTATTAGGATAGACTATTGGGGGGGAAAAGATGATTTTTATCATCTTGTAAATATGGGGTATAGATTCCAAGGTTGTCCTGGTTTTTGAGAATTAGAAACAAATGTAACTAGTGAAACCCTGATTACCAAAATGTCATTGTATTCATCAATGAATAAAAATCACTTGGACTAAATAAAGAAAAGCAATTCCAGAAACTGAAATTCATTCATGTTTGCCAGGTAACTTTTTAATAATTCCCAGTCTTTTCAAAATTCTGGTTATCGTCATTAATTCCATGTCTCTCTCTCGCTCTCTTTTTCTTAAAGATAATCAAGGTTTCACTGATTTAGCAGAATGTTAAATAGAATCCAGGGAAATTAAAACAAAAACAAAGACTTCCAAGAGTCAAGAACACTTCCCCGCAACACATGCTGCTTAAGCACTTAACATATAGACCCCACTCTGGAGGGGAGACTGGGGACTGAGCAGGAAAAAAATAGCTTAGTTTAAAGTATAACATTTTTCATTTTGTAAAAATATCATGACCAAATTCCTCCCACAGGTGAAATTTCCACGTGAATCAAACACACACAAGCACACAATCTCTCACGTTTACACTAAGTGCAAAATATTTTTCAAAATAAGCCCCACACTCCATAGCATAACCAAAGAAACACTCTTGCCTTGTCCATTAATCACATTCACGAGTCTTGTCACTTTCAAAAAAGGCTTCTTAACACACAATCATGCCAATGTTCTGAGTGCAGATGAGTTGAGGTAATGGTGGTGGTGGACAGCCACAAAATAAATAACGAAGCCCTTCCTTACACAGGGCCTGTTTTACCACCTTACTCACTGATTTCTTGCTGTTCTCTAACATAAGAGTGTGAACATATTGGTACAATTTCTAAATGTAACCACACTTAACTATTTATAAATGTCAGACCTGAATATTAAGGTCTATTAATATTAAGGCCTATTAAATCTTTTAATTGATATAGAAAGGGTTTTAAAAATTATGCAAACAACATTTCATTAGGTGGCTTAGAAATGAGGAACATTTGACACAATTTATACTCTCTTCTCAGTCATGGGTGAAAATGCCAAGGTCTGTGAGGGCAAGTTCACACGCAAAGTGGTGAGCCCAATGGTCAGAGCTGGTAAAAGCCCTCCTTTTCTTGTTAATTTGGAAAGCATATATGGGTTTTGAGGATTTTGTTTTGCTTACACTTCAGGAAATATCTGCTTAATTGGGGCAACATGGGATAAACAGATCCAAATAAGTGCTTCCATTTAAAGTTAAAGATTCTCAGCATTTCTTGTTCCAGGCAGCAGATTGCTGAATGGGATATTTCCTTTCATTGGAGCACTAGAGGTAGGGAAAGATCTGTTCCATCAATATCGATAATTGCTTTCCTTGAATAATTGAGAAGAAATCAATAGTTAATTAAATATCACTCCTCTTCAGAAAAAAAAAAAAATTAAAAAGAGGCAGTTTTCTTCTTCTTGGACCTGAATGTAAATCAGTTGTTGAACAAGTTTGGGTGTTTTGTTGTTTTTTTTAATCCCCCTGAAGATGATGTTTGAGCTAACATTTTATGCCGTTCCTAAATTTAAATAATATACTAGCTGATTTGGATGATTGTGAGAAAGTAAGCAAATAAACAAGGATCAGAAATAACCCAAGATTAATAATCTCACAGATTGGATAAATATATTGTCTATACAAGGTTAACAGGAAAAAAATACCCAAAACCTTATAGAATTCATTTCTTAGGAATTCACTGTGAAACTCATTACATTTGATATCTTGACTATGATATGCCTTTAACAAGTGGATTCTTTACCATATGTGCCACTATCTCTAACTGTTGAAATCAAGGGCACTGCTAAACCTAACTACAGATCTTACCTGCTATTTCATATGCACGCTTCATCTTCATGTCATTCTGAGTCAAAATTGTGCTGGCTAATGAATAAACTAGGCAGTTAGCAAATACCATTGAGTTCTTGTTCAGCATGTGAAAAAGAATCATTAGGCCGAAAATACTGAGAAACCCCAATGCTGTCAAGTTGATTCTCATTCATAAATGACATGAGGAAAAGAAAATTAATAAATAAAAACATGATTTCTGCTCTTATGGATTTAAAACCTAACTGGCAAGATAAAATATATATTAAAAATTACCTAATAAAGATTATCTTAAAATGATCCTATGAGCATCTGCTGAGCTCCAGGTACTCTGCAAAATGTTATGGTTATAACTCTACCTGACTCAAAGGGGCTCATAATGTGGTGGAAAACAAACAAGTAAACATACAGAAATAATTATGACATAAAAGGAAAAGACTAAGAAGAACAGACAGGCATACTCATTTCATTATATTCTGCTTTACCTTGTTTGGCAGAAAATTGCACTTTATTTGTGGCACTCCTGCAACAAACAAATCTATTGGTGCTGTTTTTCCAAAAGCCAGTGCTCAGTTTGTGTCTCTGTGTCACATTTTGGAAATCCTCCTCATACTTTAATTTTTATTTTCCATTCTGTTATACACTTGACAGAACATAGAATAGTGTAAACATTAATTTTATATGCAGTGGAAATTAAAAAAAAATTGTCTAACTTGCTTTATTGTGACCGTTGCTTTACTGCTGTGGTCTGGAACAGACAGAACCTGCAATAACTCTGAGGTATGTCTGTAGTTACAAACTCCTAGGGGAATCAGATGATCATACAAATATTTATTCTTAGGAAGATTTTAGGGAGGAGGTTACATTTGAACGAAGGATTATAAGTACATCAGGCAGTTCTTAGTAGAAATACCATTATGGATAGGGAGGCTGATTAAAATCAAAGGAATGAGAAAATGCAGTGATTGATAAGCAATTGTCTGTTAACTCTTTAAAGGCCACCCTTCGGACGTTGAGGCGAGCTGCCAACTGGGGTCACCAGTAGGTGGCACTAGAGGGAGCAGAGTGTAGGAGGAAGAGACATCGTTTTTCTTGCCTGATAGTTCTTCCCAACAGCTTTGTCCAGCAGTAGCTCTTCATGATATCATCAGCATTTGGTTCCCATGCTTCGATTTATTCAGAACCAGGTACCATTTAGGAAGCATGTTTCAGTTCTTGCTCCAAGGGATTCCTGGTTAGCATTTCGAAGGTTTTGCAGCCACCAGAGATGCAGTTTCCAGAGCTGTTGGATCTCAGCTCCAAGCTTCAAGTGTCTGGTAGCTGTGTCTTCCCTGGAATCCCTCAGCCCCAGAGTAATTAAGACTTACACAGCAGTTGCTGTCTCCAAGTTTATTCAGTGTCCTCCTTTCATTTTTAAATTTCCTTTAAATACCTATGTGGTTTCATTTTTCTGATTGGACCCTGATGAAGAGAAACATGGTCACACATGAGTGAATTATGAATGAACTTTTGTAGTTTGAGTATAGAATATATAGAGAGAAAACAGAGACTAGGAAGGTTGTGAAGGTGCTGCCATCTTCTCTGTGGAGTTCAAATAATAGGCAATGGGAGGCTATTAAAGACTTACAGACAATATTTTAAAAGGAATGGAAAAGTGAGGATGAACCAGAAAAGAGTACTGGTAAAGAGACCAGATACTTCAGTAACATAGTCTTAGGCCTAGGCTAGAGGCATGGGGAGAGAGAAGAGGAAAGGTATTTGTTAGTATACCGTGAGAAGTGTCAGATTCTGAGATTCCTATCTTGAATATTTCAATGTATTATAAAATAATGTGTTAATTAAATTATTAAGCAAATAATAGAGGAAGAAAAGTCCAGGAAAGAAGGTTATTGACTTTGAGGGCTCTGCAGGCTTTTCTGTGGGAATTTTATTATCCATTAGCCCTTGGAACAATTGGTTAATGGTTCAGGAGATAGTGTGTGCTCACTGTACAGACTTGGAGCGGGGTGGTGTGGACATAGTTAGAAAAGACAGAGCAAAAGGAGATGACTATTGAGAGTATCCAGGCCAAATAAAATTGAAGGCTAAAGATAGAACCCCGGAAGATACCTTCATTTAAGGCACAGGAAGAGGAAGATAGACGGTGAAGGAAAGACGCTGAGAAATAATGTTCTCAACAAAATGCAGTGATGACATGCATTTATGAAACCGATCATAAAAGTCTAACTAAAGTGCAAGACTATCCAGTTCTCCAGGAATAAATACTTAAACAGATCGGAATGAGAGAAAGCTGACTTTGAAGAAGGGCGAGAGAGATTTTCCAAATAAACACTGAATGTTTCTGATTGAATCTGACACAGTTGATTTTAGTATATAATTAGAAAAGACATTGGCAATAATTGAGAAATTGATACTTAGTAGAGGTCTTTGGATATCAGGCTAACACAGTGGCTCTCAG